TATCTGATTTTGTTTATAAGATAAATATTTTTTTTTATTTCAAAACCTTAATTCATGACGAAATTTAAGTTTAATGAGCAATTTGTTTTATTTCTATTTTTACTTATTAATATTATGAACTTATGATTAGACTATAAATTGATAGCAATTAACAAAGCCTAATGTTTGATGTTTAAATATAATAAAGTCATAAAACCGTTATTAATATCTAATTAATTAGATCAATAAAAAGGTTAAAAACAGAATTTTTTCAATGTTTATTGTTGAAACTGCATTTATTTCAAATATTTAGATAACTTGAGTAATATTTTGTATGAAATGCGTACACTCTAATATTATTTTTAATATAAGTATGCATAAAATTATGCACACTGTAGGAATAATGACATCATTATTTTAGGCTACACAACATAGTTGTTATAAAAATATAATAATTATAATATAAAAAAATAATACTTAGGAATCTGCGTAAAACATGGAATATGCGAAACAACAAAATACATATACAAATATAAATGTGGAGTACCACTTTTTATAGAGCCGTCTCTTTTAGTTTCTAGAGAGTAAGTGCGACCCCAGCACCTAGTAGACACACTTGATCCCCGTAGAAAAAATAAAACTCTCTTTTATATTTTCTATTTAGATAATGATCCTCAATAATGTTTTCCTTTCTTTTTAAGTAAAGAGAAACAATAAAAATTAAACCCTACTATATAGAAGTTAAAATGAGGTTCCACTAAAATTTACTAACAGTAATATTTTTTTGTGGTTATATCGCAAAATTACTAGACATATAGAATACATACATTTCATATTAAAAGGTAATCATTAATTAAAATATACTAAAATAAATACTAAAAAACTTAAGTTAAAAGTATAATTTATTCTAAACCAGTTCAATATTAATTAAATTAGAGTAAATAAATAAACAATATTTAAAAAAAAATAAAATAAAAAAATCAGGTAATATGATCATAGGAGATAATTTAAATCATTTTTATGGTATAACAACTTTTATTGTAATAACAATTTACATCGTTATATTGGCATAAAATAATTACATTTTATAAATGATAATTTATTGTAAAGTTGTATTAAAAAACCAGTAATTGATAAAACTTTAAGAATTGCTATTAATACATTTTAATTGAAAAGCATTGTAATAATATAACTCTTGTAATACATATACTACCATTTTTAAAGGTAAAATAGTGAGTCCTATAAAACTGAGTTCTATAAAATCGTTTTCTATTAATTATCAGGTTATACAATCGAGTTATAATTTAAGCTGTATATAACACATAATAAAACAAGATAAATAATGGTTATTTTTCTTAGTTTTTGCTAATTTTTATAATCTTAACAATATAATTTAATAATTAGCATAATATTCTATAATATTATTGAGTATAATTATTAAAATTCAAATTAATTAATAAGTCAATATCAACGTAACTTAGAATCTAACCTAATCAAACTTAACATTTTGCAAAAAAAATAAAAATTATAAGCATAATGGCAATTTATAAAAAGTTTTTAGTCTTAATAATTAATAAAACAATTTTTTTTTTAAAGACAATAAAATAGCTAAAATTGAAAAAGGAAAAATCACGTTGATTACGTATTTATTTAAAGTATTATTTTATTAAACACTTAATACCAAAAAATATAATGCAGTATCCAATATTGATAGTCTATTATAATAGCAAATTAGATTTAATTTATTTTTAGATACTATTTTTCAATACTTTTCAAACTCATTACCATTTTTCAACTAACTTTTTTTTGTTCTTGTACTAATTCAAATTTGCTGCGATTTCGTCAAAAAACTAAGTTTTAACTTCAAATGCTCATAAACAAATATTAAAGTAATTTTTCATTAAACATTGAATTGAATGTTTTCATTTTCATTTTCAAAAAAAAATAATAAATATAATTTTCAAATTTTCGCACGCTTTTATTATTTGACTTTTATAATTATCTAAAACAGCTAATTGTTGTTTCATTTACTTAATTTGAATATTACTTGGATTTTTTTTTTCAAGACCATTTATCTTTAACTTTCTTCAAAATTGGTTGTTGAAAATGGAAAATATAAGCAAACGAAAACACTTCTCTTAATTTGTATTGGTGGAAGTATTGTCAGTGATAACCTTCAATGCTGGAATTGATATTAAACTCGTTTTGTTGAACATCTTATTTAAGTGTGAAAAAAAAGTTGAATATATAATAAATCTTAAACTCAGTCTGTATTGTAAACATATAATAAAAGTACAACTATTGTATTATCATTTTCTCTCCAAATGGAACTGTGAATTACAAAAACTTGATTAATTAATTTGAAACACGATTTGAATCATGATAAATCCGTCTATAACCCAATTAATAGCAGTGAAAAGTTTTAACTGTAGAAAAAAAGAGATTATAATTGTCTTTCCATTTGTTTCCTAAAAATTTCTTCATTTAAAATTAATTAATACCAATAATCACAGTTTTAATAAATCTGAAATGTTGAATTTAGGTATTGAGTTTGGCTGTAGATGATCTAGATTTTTCCTTTCCCACTTAACTATACTTATAATTACAATATTAGAAAGTTATGATGATATTTCATCAGGAACATCGAAAATAGCTTTTTAGTTAAACGCAGAGATTTTGGTATTAGTTTTTTTTTATTTTCATCAAATATTTTGTTATTTTAGAATTTGATCAATGATTATGAACATCACAAGTAACTGGCGTATTTAAAAAATAAAACAAAAAAAAAAAATTATTTTCAAAGTTTCTAAATAGTACGTATTTTCATTAAAATTAAATAATTACATTTTAAGGACCATATACATTTTATACATTTCTTGTTTTTACTGTATATAGCAAAGAGAGTTCCCGTTTTTTGTTTGTATAAATTTTAAAGTAAATTATTACTATTGATCACTAAGATTTTTTAAAAGAACTACTTTTGTAAATGTTGCATAATTTCTAAAATAAAAATATTTTGAATGTCCATCTAAACCAGTCATACAATGGAAAATATAACCTGTTAAAATAAGTCTAAATCTTAGAAAAAACCAGATAGTTTAATTTTTGTACAACATTTTTGAACGAACCTCATCATTGATTAAGTCTCATGTATGTATTAAACTTGAAAATTTAATGATAAATCATTGTGTACGAAAAAATATTCTGAAAGGAGATGATTTGTCAGTCTCTATTTCATAGGATATTTTATGATATATTTATATTAAAATAGGTAATATGCAGTCAGTTGAAATTAACTAATTATTTATTATATCATTAATTTGATAATACTCTATGTTATATTATTGTAATTAACTAATAAATAATTAAGTATATTGTAGAATGGTAAAAATGTTTGCGAACTGTGGTATAAAAAAATTACAATTAAACAAACAATTTTGAAAATGTCATTGTGCGTAGAAGAAATAACATACGTAGTACGCGTCAATGGCGGAAGTCTTTAAAAACAATATTTTTGAATTAAAACATTACAATTAAAATTGAAAACAAAAAAATTGCTAAATAAATATTTTTAACATCTATAAGTAGGTATTACCCAATTTTGAAAACGCCTAACCTATATATATTTTGGTATTATTTAGTTAAAAAGTTAAGAAAATTTTAAAGTACTTAATTTTTCATATACTCAATGTCTATGATCAATATTGCAGTCTGTGTCTGATATGAATAATTTTTCATGGTGTCTGTGTATATTTTATTTTACCGGAAATGTATAAAGAGGGCATGAATTATAATTAACGCATCGAATGTTCTATTTTATTCTTTTAAATTGTTTATCCTATCAGACTTTACGTAAACGACCAATTAATCCTCTCGGAATCTTGAAATATGTAGGTACTCCAAAATACAGAAAATTATACGTAGATTCCTGTTTTCTGTAATTTGTATGAGTGTATCTATATTTTTGGTTCATAATGAATACCTATTATCGTGCATAATAAGTAAATGTATGTTATATACATTAAGTATCAAGAATTAATCCTACTTAACTTATATATACGCGCGCGCGCGTGTGTGTAATGTGTATGCATGTTTTCAAAAAAAAAAAAAAATAAATAAAAATAAATACTTAAATGATTTAAGCTAAAACTCATTATTATGTACTCGGATATAGATTTTGCCAGATCCTTTAGTAAATTAACATTGATGTATATATTTACCATTTTATTAAAATAAGCTCGAAAACAAGTTTTTGTGCTCCTCTTTTTGATAAATAGTTGTTAAATATCTATTTATAAAATAGACTTTAATTGTTTAATTAACATTAAAAGCTAAAGGATTGCAATATTATTCATTAATCTTTCACTCGTATTAGTCGTATTTGTTTAGTTTTACTCCTACAATTTTAATTGGTAGTTTACTTAAATATATAAAAATATTCTTGTTTTTATTTTTTTAAACATTTTAAATTTATTGTATAATAAATTCACTTCATAAAAAATACCGGAAATTTTTTTTACAAATATACGTATATTTAATGCTATTAAAATGTGTATTATCTCGAATACGTGTATCGAGATCTTATAGATTTTCTTTTAAATATTGTTTCATGAAATGTAGTTTTCATTTTACAAATTTATCTTATTTTAAACTATAGTTAATGTAATTTGATGATAACGGTTAAGTAGTTTCATCTTAATTGTACTTAAAGAGTATCTTAATTATCATTATGTTTGCCAATTATACCTACTCCACGTATATTATCATCTTCATAATATAGTTTCCTTAATTAAGGATACTGCAGTATGTATAATAATCGTTTATGTAATGAAATATTCAGTGGATTCAATTTTTAATGTCTTACATAATATTTTCTAGAAGATAGGTATCTGTGTAATTTTGAATAACTTATAAAGTATAATATTATAATATTTAAAAATATAGGTACAAAGAAAATTCGTGTTTAATTAACACGTACCATTAATTAAAATTATACAATAATAATATTTTATTTTTCACAGTAACTCGAATAATCAAGGATTACAGGGATTTCAACAAAAGGACCAAATGGACGCCAAATCGAAAGATGACTCCAATATCAGCCTTACACTTCGTCTAATAATGCAAGGAAAGGTAAATATTGTATTTTGGGTTTATCTTCAGCATAACATTATTTATAATTTTAAAACAATATTATATGGTCTACAATAAATCTAGGGAGAGAATAAAGAATAAGAAACATAATAATTAATACTGTAATTTTCGATTTTGCCTTCCCCTCATGGTATTGAAGCCTTAAAAATAATGTAGTAAATAATCCATTTAGTATTATTATTACTTCCACTATTCTAAATAGTCTCATAAGTGAAACCATAATAGTATATTATACTTTTGTGAATAATATATATGTATAAACTATAAATGTATGTAAATATATAATGTTATACAAGGTGATCATTTAAATGTATACACACATTATTTCGAAAAGTCAAAAAAGTTCATAACCGAGGTACCCGCATAATGATTGTGTTCTATACCCCTAATCAAAACTATAAACTAATACTTATAGATATATAATTAATTATTTTTCCAAAAACATTTTTATGTTTCGCTATATTCTAAAAATATTCTGCTTCAACAAATTTAGTTAAAAATTATAATAAACTAAACAATAATTATTATAACATCATGTAAATATAATCGATGTAACGATTTAGATTTATTTTAGGATAAAAAGTCAAATATATATAATGGAAATGTTATTACTTATTAGATTAAAATCCCATGAGAGTATTTGACTACCACCTGACATCGCCTCGTTGCATAATTATTCTAACTATAACCGTGGATCAAAGTGAAGATGTGTCCAAAACAGAAAACCTTATAAATATTTATTATTTGACATATATATTATATACTACATTATATTATGTAGTTTCATGATATTATAGTAGACAAGTATTATAGTACAATTCGGTTTAATATACACGTACCTACACATGAATATCAGAAAAACAATTTGTATACACATACATGGTAATTCGCATATGTATATAGATTCAAGTTATCATTTAAGAGCTGTATGAAACGTTTCATTGATAATTTTTTTTTGTTTATATAAATATGAAGTTTCGTACTACAGAAAATCCAATAATTAATCAAACTTCCTGGAAAGTTACCTTGTTGTGGTTCAAGTTTTGAGTCAGTCATCTTTATATGTAGGTACATCATCATTGAGTAGTTTACTGTTATGAATATATTGTGTTAAATTGAATTCTATGATAAACTATTGAGAACAAAAATGCAACTGAATGGAAACGGATTGATAGAACATATTTATAAGGATATTTTATAATTTATTTATAATAATATAACTTATCAGCTTTGAGAATTATATAATATCTATAACAACTATACCTATTTATAAATATTTAGAGGAATTTCTAAGTACCTATCTACTGTTATTCATTCTTAAATTACAAAAGGATATATTTGTAAATATTCCAGTTTTTCCATAATTTTTTTTTAATATTTTCCCATTATTTTTTAAAAAGAACCAGGATATTTTTATGTATAACCCTTTTAGAGTCCCAACTAGATATAATCTGTTACTTGACTATTATTTCTTAGAATTTAAGATTGAACTATTTTTACTCAAAAAGAAATTAGAAACACTTACATGATAATACATTATTATTAATTAGTATATAAAAATTGTAAATTTATTCTATAATTCACATGCAAGATGTTGTAATTTTAATTTATTTGAAACTACGTAATCAATGAATATATTATGTAAAACTAATTGGAAAGTTAGTTAGAACTTTTTCAGGGTTATAAAAAAAAAATTTAAAAAGCCTTACAATTTTAATTCATTTTTATTTGATTACAATAAAAGCAATCTCCTATCAAATTTAAATCTAAGTATTTTAGTTCTTTATTAATATACAATAAGTAATATTTTTTTTTCTATAAAATAAAAATGGCAGTTTCGAGAACTTTAAAAAAATGATTATGATAAAATATTTCACATTAAATCTCCAAGGGATATAAAATAAATATTGTATACAAATACGTAAGAGAGTTTCATTTATTCATAAAAAAAACGTCAAAGTTTTATTTAAGTCAAACATACAACAATTCCTGCTTATATCAATAAGAAAGATTTAAATATATTTTCTGTTAAAGTAATTATTTTTTTAGTCTTACAAACATTTTACGTATAAATAAATAATAGTAATTAAATTATTCTTGTAAATGATAAGATACATTTTTTTTTTTTTTTTTTTTAATTAGAGAATCTTTAAAATCCATTAAAAACATTAAATTAATTATGTATTTTTGTTACAACGTTCTATAAGTGTAAAACACACAATAAAAACTTACTTATAAAGCTTTTTTTAATGCTATATTAAAACAGTTGGTTGAATAATAAAATCGTAAATAATAGTTGTAACATTATGAACATATTTTATATTGTCTACTCTAATTTTTAACTATAGTTTAATTCAATTACCAGATTGAATTTTGGAGTAATGTTACGTATTAACCTACCGAAAATATTCAAATTGACTGCATTAGACATTATACTTATTCATTAAAGATTCTAATATAATTTATTTTTCAGGAAGTTGGTAGTATAATAGGAAAAAAAGGAGAAATTGTCAAGCGGTTCAGAGAGGAGGTATGTATATAATTCATCTAACAATATTCCTTCCCGCGTGTCTGATTAATATGGACCATCCTAAAAGATATTAATCACAAGCTGATTTAAAAATGGGGTCATAGGATTGAGTCCATAAAGACCTCGAAGAATAGTGAAATTATACATTGTGCGAGAAACATTTCTGACAGTTTCATCCTTACACTGCAAAAGTATACATTTCTTTAATGTTGATCGAACTTAACGCTTTTCAACTGATGAATCTTTAAGCATTTCTTAAATAAGCTTTAGAAAATTAATCATAGCTAAATACAAACAAAAATTCGAAATAAGTAAAAACAATGAAACTTTTTTTAATGATTATAGTTAAAAGGCACAGTAACAATTTATGGCTTAAAATAAATAATTCGTTATTTAATTATGTATAATAAAACTAGACAATATGAGTTTTATTTAAATTATACTCTGCATAATATTTTCAAATTATTACTTAACTTAATAAAATTAATATGTAATATAATGTTTCTTAATCATTAGTTATATTTTGAATTAAAAAAATATGAACAATACTAAACTGTACCATAATGAGTAATTAGTATATGCGTCTGACGGCCAGAATTTGTATCCATATTTAATAAATAACAGGTATTTTTATTAATTGCTTTGATCAAAAATTATATTACATGTATTTTGTATAATTTAGGTTATTAATTTAATGTATGCAAGGTATAGCGTTTTAAAGCATTCAGTAGTTCAATAATATTACTTTATCAATGGAATAAAACAATTCTGAAGTTATTATATACATTTTTAGAATTACTTATTATTTGTTTTGTAATATTCTCAAAACCATTTTACATGAATAATTCTAGTATTCCATTGTTCAACAAAATCTTTCGCTGAAAACGTATGTAAAATACATACATAACCCTTTCCAACCTCCTAATAATTAAAATAAATAATACTTAAATATGAATTAAATTTACAATTAGCTGTTATCGTTATAATATTTATCATTGATTTTTTTTTTCAGTCTGGTGCCAAAATCAATATATCTGATGGCTCTTGTCCAGAAAGAATAGTTACCATATCAGGATCTACTGAAGCTATCTACAAAGCATTCTCTTTAATATGCACTAAAGTTGAAGAGGTAAGTTTTATCACGAATAGCATTAAGCTTGTTTGGATATTAATTATGTTTAGATGGCTAATATATCTGATACAGTATGACTATAAGTTGTTCATTATGTTATTGATCATTAATGTGCAAAAAAATTTAAGATAATATGTAATATAATATTGTTATTAGATTATATTAAAAAAGTTAAATTGTTTAATAAGGTTTTAAAAATTGTTTATCTTATATTTTAGAGATGAATCAAAGCCAAATATAATTAATATTTATTATATATTAAGAATGGTGTGTCAAAATAAAATTAAAATACTTTTTGATTTTCTAGTCTATTTTAAAGTTAAATTTTCTAACAACGTTCATTCTAAGCCATGTAATTATAAAATATATTTTAAATTAATATTATTTTAACCAGTATAGTATACTACTTATAGTTTGTATTAAAGCTTTTATACATTTTTTTTAAAACGTTCTGTGGCGTGAACAAGGACAAGCAATTTCTAAAAAAAATTTATATTCATTTTTAACTACGCAAACACCAAAGGCACTCACACAAAAATATTTAACAAGTCCAAATAATACATAATAATATCAGACGTTTTTAAGACAATTGTACGGCCATGGCGATGGCTATATTAGCATAAAAATTTTTTTTCATTCCGTGATAAAGATTGTCGGATAATTGGACTACTGGGAAAATATTCCCAAAAATGAAGAAAGCGACGAGTTAGGTTTTGAAATAAACAAATTAATTTTTTAATGGAATATTAAATATGTAAAAATAAACATTATCTATATTAATTTATACTACTTAATTTTGCGTAATAATTTTACATAATCCAATGAAACCTTCCTTAACGCGCACCTCTAAATAGTGAACACCTCTAAATAACAGACATTTTTATGAGTACGGGGACATTTTCATTACTTTCATATAGGAAAACCCCTAAATACCGAACACTCTAAATAACGGACACTTTTATGGCAATTTAATTTTGATTTTGACAATTTTTATCATTAATATAGAATAATCATGGAATGCCAATTTAATTTAATCTTACTACTATGTATAATAAAGTATTATACAATATTATAATTCATCTTATCCGACCATTATCGCGTTGATGAAGTATTTTTTCTAGATTATGTTCTGTGAAGTTATCCTACTCGTGTTTATTTGTGTTTGTGATTTCATCGTATTCCGACGTGTTAGGTTGGGTTACTATGCATTAAAGTCTTAACTAAGCTTAAATAACTGATTTTTTCAATAAATGTTAATTTTTATTTAGAATTATTTTTGTTTACATTTTTACTTATTTTTTCATACACAATACTTAATAATAATGTATACCATTAATGTTTGCATTAAAATAATACAAATGTATAACGTATTCAAATATCATTGTTATAAATATTATATGTATATTGTATACATATGATATAAATAATAAATGTTGTACATTTGTGATTATTAATTTCTCCGAGTTATTTTCAAGAATTTACCCCCCTCCATCCCCTGAATAGCGGACATCTCTAAATAACAGACAAAATTACGGTGACCAAGAATGTCCGGTATTTAGAGGTTTCACTATATATATTTTTAGACAAACAAGAATTGTATTTCCATCTTTATCATTCATTGTAAAATAAAAATATAATAAATCATTATCAAACATTGTTTCAGATGCTATCATTAAACTGAACTTGTTACATTAAAAAAAAAAAAAATTAACGGTATAGATAATATAAAATAGTATTATAGACAATATAACATGTTATTTCATTGTTTAAATATATTTAAAAATGAATAATTTGTATTTTGAATTTATAATATTGACTTATTTGAACTTGTTTGTTTTTTAACTATTAATTATTCAATACAACATGTTATATTATAACTACATTCATTTTTATATGATTTTTTTTTTTATTATGTGCATGTTGAACGATTCTATAGATAGGCTATTTTGTTTTATTTGGTATCTGGTTTAGTTTTTAATAGTTATAGTCGGATTCATGTCGTGTTCCTTGTGTCGCGTTTTGATTAGCTATTTTTTTTTACATTATTATTCGGTATAATCTACCGTGAACATTTCAAAGTTGGGATGAGCTCAACTTTTGGACATGACATGATATATGACGTAACTGTGAGTCTAACTTAAGTTGTATCCAATTAAAGTTTACTTTTAATAAAATTACTAACAAAACCTTAAAATATCGTTCTGTTCAATTTCTTGTCTATTATACCATTTTAATTCTTAAATGTTTTTATCCTTTTTAATTATAGTTTCATTGATCTATCAAAATAATAATTTGAATATAATTATTTATATTCAAATAGATCTAGTTTTTTTTATATAGTTAAATTTTTAAAAATAATACATTTAATAGCAGCATACTATCTTCAAAATAAATAAATAAGCTTTTTAAATTTAAATACAAACATTTTAAAGGCCTAATGTGGCGCGGTGGTTGGCCTCGGTCACTAATATGTTCCGAGGTCAAGCATCGATCGGCGTCGCTAGCTCTCGGATGGGTGACCACCCGAGTTCTTAGTGACGAATCCATGGTGCATACACATACATCCACGTGTTCCAACTCTATTAACCAAACCTCACAAACAAACCTTACACAAAATACCTACTGATCTTATACACAGCTAATGGCCTTCATTCCCAGGCTTAAATAAGATCAATAATAAAAATAAAAAAATTTTAAATTATAAATATTCAGTTATAGGTACTAAAAAAAATTTAATTTTCATATAATTTATAAGTACATTATTATTATTATTACAGTTTATTGAAATGCAAAATGGCAAAACTGGTGCAACAGCGATCGGAAAATGCGGTATGACCCTTCGGCTGATTGTTCCAGCATCACAGTGTGGATCTTTAATTGGGAAGGGTGGTAATAAAATCAAAGAAATTAGGGAAGCTACAGGAGCACAGATACAAGTAGCTTCAGATGTACTTCCTCAATCTACAGAGAGAGCGGTTACATTAACTGGTACAAGGGACTCAATAACGCAATGTATATTTCACATTTGTGCAGTTATGGTGGAAGTGAGTGCATTAAAAAAAAAAAAAAAAAAAAAAAAAAAAAAAAACTGAAACAGTTATAATACATATTATATATTTATTTTTAACATATACTCTATGAATAATAATAATAATTATTATAACGAATAATAAAATGATATACAATATATAGTTTTCTTTTTTATCCGATCATAAATTTTAAAAAACAAAGCTAGGTAATTATTCATAGAAATAAAAATGTATATTATTAAAACATCTCAATCATTTTTAGTTGTTTTAAATTTTATCTATAATTTAATGATTTAAATATCTAATTCTATTTCAGTCACCTCCCAAAGGCGTTACAATACCGTATCGTGCTAAACCTCAGATGGGTGCACCAGTCATTCTAGCTGGAGGACAAGCATTTACTTTAGCAAGTGCAGGATCCGCGGGAGGTTGTGATGTAGGCACCATGATGGTAGGTGGTGGCCCGTATAACGCCCCAATGCTTATGGTTCCTCCATCACCTGGTGCAGCAGCAAGTCTAGGCTTAATTGATCCACTGGACTACCCCCTGCTTAAAAATGCGTTTGGGCCTTCACAAGTATAATTTTTTATTCAAAATATACATATATCAATTTAAAAATATATAACTTATTTAATTAATGTATTTTAGTTGGGGAAATTGACTGGAAATCCGTTAGCTGGTCTTGCGGCACTTGGACTTGGAAGCTTGGGAGGACCTGCAAATTCATTTAATCCAGCTGGTAAGTTAGTAATTAAGTTTAAAATTATTTGATAAAGTATGATCTATTAAATATATACTTTTAAAGCATTAGCGGCATTAGCTGGTAGCCAGTTGAGATCTAATGGTTCTGGAGCCAATATTAACAGTAGATCTGGAAGCAGTCAACAAACTCATGAAATGACTGTACCGAATGACTTAATTGGGTGCATTATTGGCAAAGGAGGTACTAAAATCGCTGAAATTAGGTGCGTATTTCATTTTGTTGGTTTTTATTTGTAACTTACGATTGATTTTATGATTCCAGGCAAATCAGTGGAGCAATGATACGGATCTCAAACTGTGAAGACCGTGAAGGAAGTGCCAGCACAGATAGGACCATAACGATAACTGGAAATCCTGACTCAGTGGCTTTAGCTCAGTACTTAATCAATATGAGGTGAGTACCTAGTATTTAGAATATAGCATGAATACAACTACTACTCGTTTGCCATACCTTTTGGCAGGGGCACACTTTCGCTTTTGCGTTCTCGTTCGGCTTTTTATTTTTTTTCGGTAGCGATTCTGGGTCAAAATGGACAATAGGGGCTTGCGTTAATATACAGTAGTGTGCACTTGAAAGCTGTCAAGAATTATAAAGTTGTTAAATATCAGCAGTTTTCAGCTGACCCAGAATATATAGATGTGGAATACAGAGCCCGGCTTTAAAGCTGGTAGGCGTTCAATTAGAATTGGCTGCACTGTTACAGCGTGGTTATTTGCAGTCAAAATTTTATGCAGCTTATTAATTGAATCATGTAAGCCATTAATCCGTTTGAGGCATCGTCGCTGTGATTAAATTTCACTGTATCTAATGCAACTTCGCAATGCGGTGAATATATATTAGATGTATAAATGTATAATAGCAGTTGATTGAATTTATGTAATGTTTTAATGAAATGCGAAATTTAGAAAACAAATAAAACATAATTGTATTTAAAATGTATAATCAAAACTACAAATTAGAATTTTATTAACATTTAACGAGACACATATAAACAATAAGTACATAATTTTACATCAAATTCTTTTTCACGTATTATTTAATTATTGTTTTACTTACATTACACATGCCATTCCGAATTATGCATTTACATCCAAAGACATTCAATATCGACCTACTTCGTTAATTAATATTATTTAGTTAAGTAACTTAATGAAATACAAAATAATTTTTAATTAAAACAAATAATATGCATATAATATATTATATACATTAAAAAGATATTTTAAATTCTCATAATACATGTAAAATAGTTCATAATAAAATCCATTTATATTTAATGCGAAATAATTTAAAAATTAGGAGTTAATGACTGCAGATTATAAAATAAAAATTTTTAACTTATAATTTTAGCATAATAATATTTTTAGCGCTTGAGAAAAATCTTGATTAGGAGTAAAGGATATCAAGCTGTTATACTGTTTGACAAGAGAGAACATTGATAAAGAAAGGAAAAGGTATAATTTTGGCCCAAAATTTGCATTTATATTATAATTAATAAAGTCTAAACAAAAATATATTTATTTTAATTTCCTTCAGTTATCTTAATAGAATTCTATATTATAGCGAAGATCCAATAAAAATTTTTCTTCGTAGTCTAAATGACAAATGTATGCCAGTTTACTTAACTGAATACAACTCTTGGCAATTATCTTTTAATATTAAAATCTTAGTAAAAATTATGCACATAGCCTTTCATAAACTATTTTTTTTAAAGTCGATTTCCATTTATATCCATAGTAGAAAAAGTAGAAATCTATATAATATTGGACCATTTTTACTTTACTAGATACTTCTAATTTTTTATAGATAAAATAATGTATTTTGATATGGTTAAAATTATAATGAAGTCAACATTTGGCATTCGGATATTGTTTTTATGGTAGGTACAGCTTTATTAGCAAATTCCACCAATATCGTGGTAGAATGAGGAACTTGGCATTCGGATACCTACCTTAAATAGTATTTTCTTCGATTTTTCAATTTATTTTTATTAATCTTAGAAGCTTTAAGTGAAAATAATTCCATTATTAATTTTTCAAAACCACTAAAGTTAAAGAATAGGGTAAAGACTAATTATTTAACAGTACATCTAGAAATAGCGAGATAATTCATTTTCTAATTTCGCTTAGAAAATTAAAACAGATATTGATTTTTATATGAAGCTACCACTGATAAATCACAATTAATTTTTTTCCAATGACACGTTTAGATCTGACCACGAGATCGCTCACTTGCAAGTCGCTACACTCTTTCGGATGGTTTAAAATGAAAACAAAAGATATTTTGCTTTGCAAAATCATTTCGTTTTAGAAAAAAAACAATTTGAAAAGTTTTCTGAATGTTTTGTTGTGTTTGGGTTCACTTTGGACTTACTCATGCAATATACAAGATACGATATAGTGTTTAGAAATAACGAAATTAACTATTTAGGCAGTACCCTTAAAATAATAAGCTTTAAATGGCTATTACTTCTCAACTAAATCTGACTAAAAATGTTGACTTAACCATCGTTTTCAGTATACAAAAATACATAATTTTCAAAAAAAAAGAGAATTCGAAATAAAGAAAATATAAATCTTGTATTCTATTCAGTAGTTTATATTGATCATTATATTGTAGTGTCTGATTTTTGTTTAGATCGTAATCAAATACAGCATTAGTTATATATATACAGTGGTGCAGCCAGAGCTCGGAAACAGCTATCGGTTATAACATTAAGTCTATTTTATTTAAAACCAGTTTTCCAGAATGTGTTTACTACTATAAGACGTAATATTCTTATACTTTTTATACATAAAAACTGATAGTTTTTTTTTAAATATTTTAGTCAAAAAATAAAATAAAATAAACTACAGATAGTATATAATCTAAAAAATCCTTCTCCTAATCATACACTGGCTGAACCACTGATTGTTGGTCTCTAAAATATTTCAACAGGGACTGGAACTGAACCGTAAAAAAATAGTATTAAAAACGAAACTTTAATCCTATCAATATCGTATGTATTGTCTATTTGAATTTGTCTTACAAATTTAAAACATAATTAATTAGCGTTTAGCAGAATCAATTTTGTGTTTTTAGTTTTAATACTAGAATGGATTAACCTATTACCCAACATAAAAAATAATATTTTCAATATTATAATTTGAAAATGATCATAATATACTCAAAAATATCATAAGAAAATCAACAGGAATTATCATTACCTTTGAATTTGATAATAGGTTAATTCACTATCTATTATTAAAACTCACAATACACAATATTAGTTAAATAATTATTAGACTGAGAAAACACATACGGGTGTAATCAAAAAATGAAATTGTAAACAATATATTTTGTGAATAAATATTTTTTATTTTAATTTAATTCCTTTATAAATAAAAATACTCCTTACTTTGATCACTTATCTTAATACAGCTCGTGATATTACTAATAATAATAAAATATACATACGTGTTATATTTTGTACTTAAAATCAAAATAATAGCACATAGGTATATAAATTAAGTTTTTATTTTGTACAAGAACATAATATTATCTTACCTATTATAAAGGTAATTAATATTTTAAATTTTACATTCATATAAGATATGTAATTTTGTTGTATAACTTTTAATGAAATAGATAAAAGTTTAGATGGTTAATATTAACATTAACATTAACTAAAACTTTGATTTTTTTATTTTAAAAACAAAATATAATATGACATGCTATAGCTTATTTTTCGACGAACCGAAAGCTATGTACCTGGTTCCAGTCCCTGAATTTTTAACAAAAATTTATATCACTGTTCTTAATATATTTGTTCTTGTTTTTGTTTTTTTTTTATATTTACTTACATGTCATATCATAATGATAAAACGATTTTTATTTTTTATTCTACCGATATTATTTTTATTTTTATTTTTTATTACTTTCCTCCCCACCGCCATTCCTCGACCTCAACCATAGCTTGGAAATACAGCGCGCATCAATGTTGCAATCGGAAATCCAACACCACCATCACCATCACCTCCTTCACCACCAACAACATCACCAGCAACAACAACAGCAACAACAGCAGCAGCAACAACAACAGCAGCAACAACAGCAGCAACAGCAACAGCTAATATTGCCACCGCACCAGTACCCGTTCCCTGTTCACCATATGCTCGTTACATGCAACACCACGAACACCACCACCACCTCGGCCACGAATGTTCACCAGACCGCCAACCCATTGCCAGCTACCCACCCGCACCACCAACAGCAGTACACGACCGCCGCTGACATATTACCCGTCCAGCACCATTTCCACGGTCCCGCGGTAGCCGCACTGCTATCCCCTCAGCCGACCGTCGCCAAACACAAAACAGATCGCATCAAGTTCACCCCGTACTGATGTTATGATATTAAAAAATAATAAACAAAAAAACCTAATAATAAATCGTAACAATATAATATAGTAACTACTACCACCTGGGTGGTAACTTAACCAACCACAACTACCGTCGAAAGACTGTACCTATACGATAATTTGGCCCTTATTACACATGGACCGATCGGCGCCCACTGCAACCCACTACACACTAAAAAAAAAAAAAACGTATAAACTGTCTAGTCAGTCCAAAAATAATGTACCAAACGATTGCGACAACCTACAGTCAATCATGTCACTTTGAAAATCCTATAATATAACGATCGGTTCTGAAATCGGAATCCTTTAAAAATATTTAAATCAGATTCACGCTGGAACCCTCATTCCAATATTTTAGAAACCTAAATCAATACTTATTTGATCTTATAAGAACCTAACTGAAACTGTGAGAAATCCTATGATATCTATAGTCTCTGTCTTATACTCGATTCACGTGTATGTTGAGGCGAAGGGACGGACGGAACCTTGTCACTTACGTATCGTATAGTTAAGTATTATAGAAATATATGAAAATATCATGACTATTGATATACTATTACTGAGAAAGATGGTAGTGCAATTATACCCCAAATATTATAGATCTATCATCAAATGTTTTTTACATTTCTCAAATATCTGATGTAAAATTGTCCGTATACAATTAATTTTATTATTACATTATTATCAGCAAATCTTTTTTAAACAAAATAAATTGCGTTCAACTATGTTACAGAAGAGGCTTGAAAATTTTGCAATCAATATATGTATGTGTGTATCTGTATGTGTGTGTTTGTTCCAGCGCATTAACTGTATTCGTGAAAAAGAAACGTTCACGGGGGGGAGGGGTGGTTGAAATTCGTTACTACGTTATATTTATTAGTTTTTTTCAATCATTCAAGTTTATATTAAGAAAATCATAAACTTAATTGCAATTCTTTATTAATCATACATATTTCTACTTAATTTAATTTGTTATTATATTCAAAATGTTAAGTGCCTTATACTCAGCCATTCATTAAACCGTATTAATTTTGTATAAAATATATATAGACCAAATTTTTAACCATTTAAATTTATTGTATATTTTTTCTATCATTTATTTTATATCAAAATATTTATGTGATCTAAATATAATGCTCACTTAAATTAATTATAAATATAATTTAATTATGTATTTATTGTTTAAGTTCAAACGATTTAAAGCCCGTCTTGTTGTTTTTATGTCATACAATAATGTTAATATTATGTTATGTTATAAGTTTATAGTTTAATAATTTTGTAGACGATAGTAGTACTTATAAATTTTGTTAATACAATATGTATTTCAGAATATTTTAATATTCGTGATAATATAAATTTAAACATGTTTACAATTACCTACAGGTTTTTTTCTTATTATCAGTTATTATTTATCATCTTTTACATTTTATTAGACCATTTGATGTGCATGGAACGAAAACTCTATTGAATTAAATCAACAAATATATGCATGAAACTATATTATAATATTACATAAATAGTTTTATCATAAAGTTAAGTTGTTTTTCTTTTATTCTTATTTTGATTAGCGTATTACTCAGCATGTGTGTTCAGCAAAAAAAAAAAAAAAATCATTTAATTTTGAAACCAATTGAAACTTGTATTTGAACGTTTATCAAGGTCAGTAAACTCGGCATTTTATCAAGATATTGTAGATATTAATAACGCTATATTTTATACTAAACAATTTGACGTGTTTGTTGATCGTCGATCTTGTGTATACTTTTATTTATTACATGTGATCTTATTTGTTACCAGGATATCTATGGAGACTGCTGGACTAGCCTTGCCTGGTTATCATTACGTATCACCTAATCACATTGTCAAGTCACCAATTCATTAAATCAATGTACAAAAGAGGTAAGAAAACAATTCATGAAATGAAAAAGATACCCAAAGATTCTATCTTATAAAGTTAGGTTTAACAATAAATTGAATAAATGCCAGTATGTGTGGTTTTTTACCGCTATAAATTTTTAAATTTAAATTTTAACCAACCTTAATCGATTTTAGTCTATAAAATACAAGCAATATATTTATTTTTTTTTATTTCAGTTTTTATGTTGCATAGTATATTTATTTTTATCTAAAGATAAAAAAATATTAGGAGCAAAGAACACAGCAAGAGGGTTAAAAATTGAACAATTTTCGGGAATATATTATAGTGTTAACTAAGTACTTACATTCCAAAAAGCCCATTTTAGACCATTCAGCTGAAATATAACTTATGAAAACGTTGTTTAAATAGCACATTAATAGTCTGATTGTTAAACTATGTACCTATGTAAACGTAATAATTATTAAATATTATAATTTTATTTATCTTTACATACATATTTTAATTTAACAATTATGACTTATTGTTAGAGCTAAGATTTTTTTAAGTAGCCTCACGTTGAAGTATATTATAAATAGCTATTCTAAAAAATTATATATTTACATGTGAATTTAAATATTAATATATTATAAATAATAATTAAAAAATCAATATTAAAGATAATCAAATATTTTTCTATTTTCTAATCAGACGGCACTCTGGGTATGCAATTCAATGGCATCCGTATCTTTCAATATTAATAGTTTTAAATAATACATAATTTGTTCAAATACTTATAGGTAGTTACAAAGTCCACAAAATATATTAGTTTATGAGAAAATCTTTAATTAAAATTATGAGTGTTTATTTTCATAATCAAAACATTTTCAAATTAATAATATTATAAATTTTATTTAAGTAGCTTTTAATTTTTTAATAGTTTTTTAACATTCATAATAATATATTATATTAAAAACTTAATTAACCAAATTAAAAATTCACTAGAAAACTAAACAAGTAAACATTGGTTTTAAATCATTTAAGATAGTTAAAATATTTCTATTATTTTTAGAGCAAAAGTGAATTATTTCACTAGGTAATTATATATTTTATTTGAAACAATAAAATAATTGAAAAAGTATTCTACTATACTTGAAAAATATTATAAAATCTGTATATTATGCCGTACATAACATATAAATTTGGTACGCAATCACGTTGCAGCCAAATAATTATTATATAGGTAATCTGAATTCATTGACGAAATGTATAGTTATAAAATGTTTATTTCACATATTTTATACTAGATGAAAAATATTGAACTTATGTTAAATTAATTATTTTTAAGATCAGTTATTCAACACTTGGGCATTGGAAATGTAAAATGATAACGAACATCAAAAATAAGGTATTAAATATTTATCCAACGATGATGATAAACATTTTCAGATTTTCCTGTATTAATAGGTTATGAACTTATAATTAATCTTTTGTATTATTATCATAGTTATTGTTTATTTAACTTTAGTATTCATATTTAATGTTTCGTTTTATTTTTATTTTTAACTTATTATTAGCGTTAATGTTTTCAATGTTAATATAAAATAATTATTATTAGTTAAGTATGCGCGTTATAACTATTATAACTGTTCATGTTTATTTTTTGAATTGTATTGTTTGTTTAGTGTTCAATTGGTTAATTTCTAAGTTGTTATTTTTTTTTTCCATTCATACATTTTGTTGCTTATATTTTGAAATCGTACCAAATGTTTTACACAATTGAAAATTAGTTAAAAGACAAATAGGCACTAAACTTTAAATTGTTTTTGTGTGTCAATAGAATCGGTAATTTTTATTTTTGCTGTCAAAATGCATTTTTACATTAATTGTCAGATTAAGCAATACCTACAATAAAATAGGTTAATATAAAATGTATAATAATATAATATTCTATAGTAATCGTATACAGGGTGAGTCGGATAATAGTTTAGAATGTATCCAATTATAAGGACACTATAACTAAATCCAACTGAGTATACATGTATTAATATAGGGTAAAAACGATTTGGTACCTAATTTGGATTTTTTGGGCAATGGTCAATAATTTTTTGTCCAGTCTCAATGCCAAATAACATTAGTGCTATTCAGTTACTATGTAAGTTCTACCGTCCCACCCTGTATAGTTTTCTATAATATAATTATGTTAACTTCGAAATATTGATTTCTGATCTACTATTAAACTCCTGTATATTATAAGTTAACAAATCCACAATAATCAATATTTTTTAGTATACACGACTTAAGATATTATGTTGTATTCTTAGCTTGCCTATGTTTTTTAATTAAAATGATTGGCATAACAAATTAATATAGAGCCAAAAAAAAAGTCATAATAATAATAAATTTAAAAAACAAGCCATCTTTACTGGCTAATTTGTGAAAATATGTGCCAAATATCAAAATTATATATATATATATTTATATATATATATAATATTTTAAGATGTAGCAATAATAAATAATATATTATATTTTATGAAAATTATGAATTAATGACCACACTGGCGTTAGTACATATATTATATACGAATAAATATAATATTTTCCAATAGATCAATTTTGTTAGAAGCTTTAAATATAAACGCTATTCAAGTATAGCTCTCTTAGACGCACTCTATTCATTAGAATAATAGCATTACGCTAAATATAAATTAAAAATTTTTCTTTTTTATATATTATTTTTTAAAACAAGTTTATAAAGACACCAAAGTCTTATCAATATGAGGTACGTAAATTATACACTGTGTCAAAACTCAAAGGACAAAGGCGAAAGGGTATGCCACCGGGGGCAAATAAAAGGTTAGTGAAAATAAATACAAACTTATCGTCAATGTATATTCTTGGCGCACACAATTTTTTTTATCTTCAATGCAAGTTATGTTTTATTTTATTTTTCATTCAAATTATATAAATGTAGTAATTAAAAGTATTTTTTGTAATGTATTCTTGTAGTTTAATATATATTTTTTTTTCATAAATTAAAAACAAATAAAGTGTGATATAATTATTAGTCAGGGACGCATAAACTTTGGTATCTTGACCCATAGTTCGATGAACGCGAAATGCAGCACATATTATATTTTAATAGATTTTCATACAGAATAATTTTGACAACATTGTAACAAATAGCATGAAATTTCTAATAATCGTAATAAACATTTAAAAAATTTAAATAATTTTATCTAACTTCTAAAATTTAGAATATTTTAACAATAATAATAATATCGTTTATTATCATAAACATTAGAGACAATCATGATTTTTTATTTTAGATA